GCCATGTTTGTCCGCGGCATCGTCTTTGGCCAGTACGATATGGTCAGCAGTTAGAGCTTCACCGAACTTCTTCGGGACAAAAGCTTCGTAGGCGTTATCCTCTTCGGTGGGGTCTGCCGTTGGATGTGGTTTGTGCTGTCGTCTACACGGGGCATTCTGTGTCATCGTACGAGAACAGATCTCACAGTCGGGATGTTTTGGGCTGTGAGTCATGTAATGCATCGGGTCGATCGGTTTCTTTTGTCTGTTGGGCAGAACTCGATCGTTGTCTGGATGCGTTCGTGCGGGCGTCTCTGCCGGTATGTCGTCGTCTGCTTGAGCTATATCGAACCCCCCGCATTGTGGAGGAGAACACTGCATCTGAGACGTAGGCGAGTCGGTGGTCGTGTCCACGTTGGTCTCGTCTGTTCTTGTGTCGGGAGGTTCTTCGACCGTGATGGTCCGTGCTCCTCCTCCCTCTCCGACATGTGGTCTCTTGGGGCAGGTCCCTATGTGGGGTCGTAGCTCGTCTGCAGTGGTTGGTTGCTCTGTAGTTTTGCAGCGCCAACAAGTGTCGTTACAGCGGGCGGATGACCGCTTTCGCTGACGACGGCGGGGTGCTGACGAAGTGCATAAACGTGGTGGTGGTATCCGTGTTAAGTCGTCAAGTCGTAACTCTGGCACTCGATTGTTGACTGGAATCTGATACCATTGGCCCCCCGGATCCTGAAGCATGTAGCCCAGCTCAGGATCCCAAAGCTGTCGAAAGCCATCAACCTCGATCAATTTTCCAACTGATAGTAATGATGGGCAGTCTGGTAAAGCAAGGGCTGAACTATGCAGTCCAACTTCGGGTAGCCGTATGTCGTAGTGCTCGTTGACGGTACGATCACCATTTGCAGTTTCCAGAATATGCTCTTCGCGAATAGATATGCGATCCGACTCGGTCTGCGTAAGTTCATGTTTTCCCTGAATATGATGGGCAGAACCACTGTCAAGAACCCAAGACCTTGTCAATGCTGCAGTCGAGCGTGGAGTGTCGACTTGCTTTGTCGTTGTTGTCGTCTGGGCAGTCTTTGATGACTGCTTGACAGTGTCGTCATGCTTTCGGATCGCAGTTGGTGTGGCCACCGACTCTTTGTTGTGTCGGTAGTCGTACAGTTCGTCGTACCATAGTTGTGCCTCTTTTTGACATTCTCGTAAGGCCTCTGCACTATCATCCCACCATTTTTGTGGTAATGGATCTGGTACTTTGACGATGTCACCCTCATTCGGCAGCTCTTTCCACCTGTCCAGTCTGGCTCTGCCAGATATGGTATGGAAATAGTAGTCCACGTTGCGTACGTCGAAGCGTATCCGACGACGTATCTTGGTAGATGTCGTTGTGGCCTTGGTGTTGGCCATGAGGGTCTTGTCGCGGATGACGTAGCTGCGGTCTGAACGGCGTGAATGTCTAAAGTTGGCAGGAGAACGTGCTCTAGTGTTGGGTGAACCACGGGACGATCCGCGGCTCGGATACCGCTTGCCACGTCCTTTGTCACTGCCATATGATCGATCACGGCCGCGTGGACGGCCACGTCCGCCGCCACGATTGTCTCGTCCTCGGGAGGTAGATCTCGAAGATCTGTCGTAACGACTTCTCGATTGGCTGCGAGAGTCTTGGGACCTCCTGGATGTGGAACGGGATCGGTCGTATTGGCGTCGGTTGTCACGTCCCTGTCGTGAATCGCTTGCGTAGCGAACCCCCCCGCGTTGTGAAGACCGTTGGCTTCCTGATCCGCGGGATGGTGATCGGCCACGGCTGTCCTGGCTGGAAGTCCGTGGTCGACTCGGGCTTCGCTCAGGAGTCTTTGCACCAGGTGCGAGATGAGCGTATTTGCATTTGTCGCCTTTTGTGCACTTGTTCTGTGCGAAATCCTTGCACTGTGCGACGTGCGGGTAGTTGCATTTATCACCTCTGGTACATGTGTTGCGCTTGGCAAAATCGAAGCAGAACGGCCTTGATGCTGGCTTCTTGTGATTCGCAGGAGTGGACATACTACGGCGGGGGTTGCCACCAGCCGTTGATGTTCTGGAAGATTTGTTGTTCTTCCAATCCCTGGAATATGTATGTAAAGCCTTGCACCGTTCACCATTGCGACAATTGCCTTTCTTTCATGCAACGCACACGTTAACCTGAGATCGTGTCTCGTGTTCGTACCGTAGCTTGTTTTGATTCTTCTCCAATTGTTTAATCTCCAGTATGTCCAGGACACGCTGTCGAAGCCAACCGTAGGTACGATTCGGGTCGCTCATCTTCATGCGCTGGTACTCGTACATGTCTTGTTTCATCCATGCATGTCTACGAATCTGTGTGCGGAATAGCGATTCCAATATCTTTGGATCGGGTACTTCTCGGCATTCCAAGAGTAAGGCGTCCCAATCGGTGATGAAACGTTGCAAATCTTCGTCTCTCATCCTCAGTTCTTTAAGGCGCTCGAAATCGTGCAGGTCGTCGTCGACGTCTGTCACTTTGTAGGAC